GCTGCGGATCCCTGGACACGGGCAGCGAAGGGGCACCAGGCCGGGATCTCTCCCCCGTGGGCTGACTGCTTCCTGGGGCTAGAGAGCGGGGCAGGCCACAGAGGCCCCCCTCCCAGCGCCGGGAACGGAACCCCCTCCCACCTCCTGGGGCGATGACGGGACGCAGCCTCTGCCCAATCCCCGTGCCTGGGGGGGCCGGCAGGAGCCTTCCAATCCCCCAAGTGCCTGAGGGGTGGGGGGCACTTCACTTCCCGCCCCACTCGCCTCTGTACGTTTCTTTTCTCACACCGAGGAGCCCCCCTCTCCCAGCTCTGCGATCTCTTCCCTTGACCCCCAGCGAGGGGGCTGGGGCGCATCTGGGACGTTCATTAACCCAGAGGTGGAAGGAGTGGGGCTGGGGGCCTGAGCTGGTTAAATGTGGGGGGAGGGGGGTGAATCGGAGCCGTGAGGCTGTTTGAAGTGAGTCGGAGGGTGGGGGGCTGGTCTATTGGCTGCGGGGCGGGCGGTGCCCCCAGCAAAGGGGCACAGTTTTGGGGAGGGGGGGCTGCCAGGCATGAGCCCCTCCACTAGCTCCCACAGCAGGCCCTCCGCGTGTGGCACAGGCAGGGGGTTCCCCAGGACCTGCAGTGTCAGCCCCAATCCCCCAGCAGCTGCCAGCTCTACCCTGGGGGGCCCAAGAGCCTCCGCCGTGGGGCCCTGCTGCCCCCCTCAACTCCCCCCCAGGCCTTCCCTGCCCCCCTCCAATCACAGCTGCCCCCATGCTGTTACCCCCCCACACACCCCTTTCACTGTCTGAGCCACCGGCCTTAACCCCAAACTGGAACACACCCCCCCCCCGTGCACCCCGTTGAATTTGGCTCCTGCCCCCCTCACTCTGGGGCAGGACGGGGTCTCCCCAGCCCAGGCCCGTCCCCCGCGTCTGGCTGGCTGGGGCCGCGGGGAGAGGCGCCGGCCGGGGGTTTATTTATAAAGTGATTTAACAATAAAACCAAAAACCTTTGGATTGTTTGAATTCCCGGGAGCCGAGTCTGGTTTGTGTTGCCGTGGGGCCGAGTGAGAGCGGGGGGCAGCAGGGGGCTGTGTGAACCCCCCCCTCCCCGCCTGCCAGACCACGTGCAGCCCCCCAGGAGTGTGGGACCCCCCCGGGCCGGGCGCTGGGCAGACACAGTTCCTGCCTCAAGAGCTGACGCTCACCAAGGCTTTGGAGGGGAAACTGAGGCCTGCCCTCCCCCCCCGCCCCCCCCCAGGCCAGTGGCAGAGCCCGGCCTCGCCCCACACCCACCCCCTTTTGCTGGAGCCCTCCTGCGGCATCTAATCTGGCCAGGCCGGCGTGTGCTGGGTGATAGCGCCCAGCCCTGATAGCCCCAACGGCTGGCGCGGGGGAGGGGGCCCGGCACGGGCACTGGGGCAAGAGTTGCTGACGGGCATGGGGGGGGCAGTGATGTGAATTAGTTACTATTAGGTGTATTACGGTAGCGCTGAGATCTGCCCCCCACTGTGTGCTGGGCGCTGCCCAGACCCTTCCTGAGATCCAGGCCCCGTCGCGCCAGGCGCTGCCCAGACACACATTGCGAGATCATCCAGACCCCAAAGAGCTCCCAGTCTAGCTCAATGCAGGGTGGGAGGGGAAACTGAGGCAGCGGGCGGGACTTGCCTATGGTTGGAGCTGGGAAAAGATCCCAGGTGTCCTGGGCCGTGCGGCTGGGGTTCGGCAAGGCAGCGGGACGGGACCTCGCGGGGAGGGCGCGAGGTGCAGCTGCCGGCGAGTCGCCCCGGCGGCCCTGGGGCCCAGCACCTGCCAGGTGTGGGGAGGGGACGAGGGGCCCTGAGATGGAGGCCGGGACCTTGGGATCGGTGCCCGGCTCAGCGCCAGGCCCCCGGGCAAGTCACTGGGTCTGGCCGGGCCTGTTCCTGGGGGGTGGGGGGGATTTTCCGGCCCAGCCCAGGGCTGCGCTGGGCCCCCAGCAGGAGCGGCCGGGCTCAGCTGAGCCAGCGCAGGACGGTGCCAAAGGCATCTGGCTGCAGCCCAGGCTCCGTGGGGATAAATGTCCCTTCGCCAGCCGCTCTCTGCCCCGCTGGGCTGAGCCCCCTTGGCGGGGCTGGTGCCTTCTGGGCGGCTGGGCAGAGCTGGGGCCACCCGAGCTGCTGTTCACAGGGCGTGACGTCATCTGCCCCGAGCCTCGTCCCAAATCCAGCCGAGCGGGATGAGCAATCGGCTACCCCGGGGGGGGGAGCAGCTGGAGCTACAAATCGCGGCCCCCATTGTGCCAGGCGCTGCCCAGACCCCAAGTGAGATTGGGGCCCCGTCACGCCGGGCGCTGCCCAGACCCGAACCCTCGAAGAGCGCAGTCTTACTGGACAGCCGGTGGCCCAGCGGGACGACGTAACTTGCCCCAGTCGGTCAGAGCCAAGGCAGGTGCAGAACCGAATTCTCCCTACGCCCTTCCCCAGAGCCCCAGTGCAGGCCGAGGGCCCGACCCGCCCAGGATCTGCCCCGGCCCTGGGCTGCAGCCTCGGGGCCCGTGTTTGGCAGCACCCCAGTGGTTTGGTGCAGCCGAACCCCAGCCTGCAGGAGGCAGAGCCGGTCGGGAGGCGGGGGGCAGGGTGCCGATGGATCAGGACGCCTGGGTCCTGCCCCCACCTCTGCCACTGGTTCACTGAGGGCCGCTGACCAGGTCCTGCCTGCACCCCGTTCCCCGTCGGGCTGAGCAGGGGGCCTCCTTCGGGCAGACTGGCAGCTCCTTGGGGAGTGGAACGTCTCTGATTCGGGGTCTGGGCAGCGACCGGCAGGACGGGCCCCGATCTCAGTCAGGGTCTGGGCAGCGCCCGGCGCGACGGGGCCCCAATCTTGGTTGGGGTCTGGGCAGCGCCCGGCGCGACGGGGCCCTGATCTCGGCTGAGCTCCACCCATGTATCTCTAACCCACGTCATTATCACTAGCCACAAACTCCTCGTGTCATGTTTCAGCTCTGAGCAAAAATGCACCAAGAGCTGGAAAAGCAGCTAAATTAGAACCAGGCCCGCGGAGCCGGTCACCAGCCGATGCCAATTAACTCCTGCCAGGCTCCATCCCAGCCACCCACGGCCCCGGGGGGAGCCCCAGGAGCGGGGCAGCGCAAGGGGCAGGGGCTGGCGTGTTGTTCTGGGTCTGGGCAGCGCCTGGCATGGGGACAGGGCACCCTGGGCACTACCGTAATACACCTAATCAATGCCCCTCGCTGTGCTGACGGAGGCTGTAAATGGGCCCCAATCCCCACCGAATCCCCTGCAATGTTACACAGCAGAGCAGGGGGCTCGACAGGCCCAGCCAGGCCCCGTCGCGCCGGGCGCTGCCCAGACCCCAGGCAAGACCGGGGCCCCGTCACGCCGGGCGCTGCCCAGACCCCAGCCGAGACCAGGGCCCCGTCGCACCGGGCGCCGCCCAGACCCCAGGCAAGACCAGGGCCCCGTCGCACCGGGCGCCGCCCAGACCCCGGCTGAGATTGGGGCCCCGTCATGCCGGGCGCTGCCCCGACCCCGGCTGAGATTGGGGGCCCCGTTGCACCGGGTGCTGCCCAAACCCGGCCAAGACCAGGTCCCCATCGCGCCGGGCGCCAGCCAGACCCGAGTCGAGATCAGGGCCCCGTCGCCCCAGGTGCCGCCCAGACCCCGACCGAGATCAGGGCCCCATCGGGCCGGCGCCACCCAGACCCCACCGAGATCAGGTCCCCATCAGGCCGGGCGCCGCCCAGACCCCGACCGAGATCAGGTCCCCGTCGGGACGGGCGCCACCCCGACCCCGGCTGAGATTAGGGCCCCGTCGGGCCGGGCGCCGCCCAGACCCCGGCTGAGATTGGGGCCCCGGCGCGCCGGGCGCCACCCCAACCCCAGCTGAGATCAGGGCCCCGTCGGGCCCGGCGCTGCCCAGGCCCCCAGCAAGACGTGGCCGTTACTCTGACGAGCCCAGCCCAGCGCACCCAGTTTGCCCAATTCCCCGTTGCCTGGAGCACAGCAGCAGCTGGCCCAGGGCCCAGCCCTTCCCACTCTGGGTGCCTGGTTCTGTGGCTCCCCGGCGGGCCGCAGCCGGGAACCGGTTCTGCTCCTCGCAGCGCTTCGCACGCCGGCTCGGGCCCTGTTCACACGGTCGCTGCCCCTTTTAGCTGGGGAGGGGTGTGTCCCGGGCGCGGGGGCGGGACCAAGGCGGCACCAGGGAGCT